GGCATCACAGCTCACAGCAACCTCCAACTCTTGGGTTTAAGCGATTTTCTTGCCTCAGCCTCCCAAGTAGCTGGGACTATAGGCACCTGCCACAACAGCAGCTGGGCTGGGTTTGAACCCACCAGCCCCGGCGTATGTGGCCATCGCCCTAGCCACTGAGCTACAGGTGACGAGCTAGGTTATTTTAAACCATAGGAATAGTTAGTTTTCTTGTTTTTTTCCAGTTATGAAAATGTTTATTATTTTAAAAAAGCAAGCAATAGCCACACTTGATTCACTAAGAGATGATAAGTATTGTTAACCTTTTGGTGTGTGATTTTCTCTACATTCTATGCATTTGGAATATGTGTATGTATTTTTATTTTATTTTATTTTATTTTAGAGACAGAGTCTCACTTTGTTGCCCTCAGTAGAGTGCTGTGGCATCACAGCTCACAGCAACCTCTAGCTCTTGGGCTCAGGTGATTCTCCTGCCTCAGCCTCCCGAGTAGCTGGGACTGTAGGCACCCGCCACAATGCCTGGCTACTTTTTTGTTGCAGTTTGGCCGGGGCAGGGTTTAAACCTGCCACCCGTGGTATGTGGGGCCAGTGCCCTACCCACTGAGCCACAGGTGGTGCCCCTTCATGGATTTTTCTATCCTTTTCGGATGGATATTTAGATGGAGTCCAATTTCTTCCTATTTATTTGTTGATTTATTAACTGTTGTTACAACCAACATTATGATGAATATCCTGTGCAGATATCTTTGTGGCCTTTTTCATTTATTTCCTTAGGATAAATTCCTACAAATGAAATTGTTGGGTCAAAGGACATGAATAGTTTTAATCTTTTGATACATAAGGCTTCATGTTCTTGGGAATCCTGGTGATTGATCTGGCCAAGAAACCAGGCACAGGTTTTTCTGTGTCGTTGGCAGGTGATCAGCCTGCTGTGGGGCCTAAACAATGAAGGAATGAGATTGATTTGTGAATGTGTGTGTTTCAATCATACCATGAGTATGATAGTTACTGGCATTAAAATGATGCCTTCTGGCTCGGCGCCTGTGGCTCAAGTGGCTAAAGTGCCAGCCACGTACACCTAAGGTGAAGAGTTCAAATCCAGCCCAGGCCCGCCAAACAACGACAGCTGCAACCAAAAAATAGCCGGATCTTGTGGCAGGCACCTGTGGTTCCAGCTACTTGGGAGGCTGAGGCAGGAGACTCACTTGAGCCCGGGAGTTAGAGGTTGCTGTGAGCTGTGATGTCACGGCATTATACCCAGGGGGACAGCTTGAGGCTCTGTCAAAAAAAAAAAAAAAAAAAGATGCCTTCTAAGCATAAGATAATCTCAGGGTGAAATAAAAATATCATTTTTTATGGCTTGGCTCCTGTAGGTCAGTGGCTAGGGCACCAGGTACATACACTAGAGCTGGCAGGTTCGAATCCAGTCCAGGCCTGCCAAACAACAATGACAACTACAACTGAAAAATAGCCGGGCCTTATGGCAGGCGCCTGTAATCCCAGCTAGTTGGCAGGATGAGGCAAGAGAATCATTTAAGCCCAAGAGTTTGAGGTTGCTGTGACCTGTGACACCACGACACTCTATCCAGGGTGACATAGTAAGACTCTGTCTCAAAAAAAAAAAAATCATTTTTTACTTAAGAGAATGGCTAAAATAAAATAATCAATAGTGTCAGCTTGGTGCCTGTGGCTCAAGTGGCTAAGGCACCAAACACATACACCTAAGGTGGCGGGTTCGAATCCAGCCTGGGCCCACCAAACAACGATGGCTGGAACAACAAAAATAGCCAGGCGTTGTGGTGGGCGCCTGTGGTCCCAGCTACTTGGGAGGTGGAGGCAAGAGACTTGCTTGAGCCCAGGAGTTGGAGGTTGCTGTGAGCTGTGATGCCACCGCACTCAGGGGAACAGCTTGAGGCTCCGTCTCAAAAAAAAAAAAAAAAAGGTATTGGGAGGATATGGGCAAACACATAGTCTCATATATACTTGCTATATATTCTTGCAAATTGGTAGAATGACTTACACAGTATAAAATGAAAAATGCACATAAGCCCGGACCAGCAAATCTCTGGCTAGAAATTTATTCTACAAGTAATGATAATGATAGGAGTTGATATTTACTGAATGCTGACCACATGCCTACCACTATTCTAAATCTTTTACATGCTTTATGTAATCTTGTGAAACCAAGGCACATATAGACTCTCACATAAACTGGGGGAATATCTATAAGGACCTGGAAAGCGGCAGTTGGCTTTATCTAGAGAAGGAGACATATTTTTTGTTTTGTTTGTTCATTTTTTTTTTGAGACAGAGTCTCACTATATTGCCCTTGGTAGAGTGCTGTGGTGTCACAGCTCACAGCAACCTCAAACTATTGGGCTTAAGCAATTCTCTTGCCTCAGCCTCCCAACTAGCTGGGACTACAAGTGACATATTTGGGGGGTTTTTATACTAATTTTTGTTTTTGTTTTAAAATGTTAACGATTGGAGGAAGGATAATGTGTGTGCACACTTTTTCAAAAAGTCCAATACTATTTAAATTTTTATCCATGCATATATTCCTTTTTAGTCAAACAAAACTGGTTAATCATAAAAAAATTTAAAATCATTCACAAATTCCAGGCTTTCCCAAAGGGAATAGGGATCTGATGGAAGGAGGCAGCCTTACCTGCTCCGCCCTATCAGTTCTGTGGGTTGAGAGCTTATGAAGAGCTGCCCCTGCCTTCTCCCAGCATGGGCCTGTCCTCCTGCCCTCCTGCCCCTGACCTCTCCCCTCAGGCATCATGTGCATGGACCATCTGGAGGAGATGCTGAAGCTGGTGGACTGCAACCCCATGATGATGAAGGACGGCAAGTGGGTGGTGCAGAAGTACATTGAGCGGCCCCTGCTCATCTTTGGCACCAAGTTTGACCTGAGACAGTGGTTCCTTGTGACTGACTGGAACCCACTTACTGTGTGGTTCTACCGAGACAGCTATATCCGCTTCTCCACGCAGCCCTTCTCCCTGAAGAACCTGGACAAGTGAGCCCCACCTCTCACTTCCCGTGAGCCCCAGTCTGGTTGGGGAGCTAGCAAGCAATACAGTGCCATGGACTCAGGCAGCAGTGCTGGACTCCACACACATACTCCGCAGGCAGGCAGACCCTCACCCAGCCAGCTATGCCCCCATCTGACAGATACAAAGTGTGTACCCTGTGTCATTCACTGCTCTAGGCACTTGGGACACAGCAGTGACTAATACAAGACCCTAGCTCTCAATAAAGAGTTCACAGGCCAGGTGTGGTGGTAGTTTACACCTATAATCCAGCCTCTGGGAGGCTGAGCGGGTGGATAGCTTGAGCTCATGAGTTTGAGACCAGCCTGAGCAAAAGCGAGATCCCATCTCTACTAAAAAATGGAAAAACTGAGGCATTGAGGATCATTTGAGTCCAAGAGTTGGAGGTTGCTATGAGCTATGATACCATGGCACTCTACCCAGGGCAACAGCTTGAGACTGTCTCAAAAAAAAAGAAAAGAAAAAGAAAAAATTCACTTTTTAGGCCTGGTGCAGTGGCTTATAACTCTAATCCTAGCACTCTAGGAGGCCAGGGCAGATGGATTGCTTGAGCTCAGGAGTTGGAGACTAGCCTGAGAAAGAGCGAGACCCCATCTCTACTAAAAATAGAAAAACTAGCCATGTGTTGTGATAGGCACCTGGAGTCCTAGCTATTTGGGAGGCTGAGGCATGAGGATCGGATAAGCCCAGAAGATTGAGGTTGCTGTGAGCTATGATGACATCATGGCACTCTTCTATCTTGAGTGACAGACTAAGACTGTCCCAGGAAAAAAAAAAAAAGGAGAGCTCATATTCTAGCAGGGAGATATAGACAGGCAATGGAAATAATGAGGAAAATTATCTAATAAGTAAAAAGATGATTTGTGTTATGGGGAAAAAGGACAGGAAAATGTAGAGTGAAGGGAGGTCAGGAGAAATTCAGCAGGATAGGCTCGGCGCCTGTGGCTCAAGCGGCTAAGGCGCCAGCCACATACACCTAAGGTGG